CGGCCAAAGGTTTGTTCACTCATGTTAAATTTTCTTAAAAACAAAAAGAAAAATTGCCCTTTTTCCTTTTGATAAAAACAAAAGGAAAAATCCAAACTTTGTCTCATCCGTCAATAATATATTGGAAGTTCTTGATATAAAACAAGAGAGTTGGGGAAAATCAAGAGAGCGAGAAAAACAAATGAAAGGGGAAAAGTCCCACATTGGTTGGGGGGAAAGGTTTTGCCTTATTTTTATATTGTAGTGCCTTAACACTACTTAGTTGGGTGAGTGGGAGGTATGTGTTACTCCACACACATGCGCGCGTGCCAAGCTGTGTCGTGCTCGGGACTTGGGGAATGCGATGCGCTGGTCCTTGTTATCTTTATGGAGAAATTTTATTTCCTTTCTTTGTTAAACATAATATTCTTTTTTTACTGTTGGGATTATTCTTTTTTGACTGTTGGGATTACGGAATTAAATCAGCCATTAATCCCTTGATTACAGCTGACTGATTCAATTCCTTAATTACTACTTGACTGGCTAAATTAATCTGGTCACTTTCTTAGCTAGATTCTTCCCATGTTTTATGCTATCCGTTTTCCTCCTTCTGCCTATATATACTCAGTGGTTTTCCCAGCCAAAACACACAACAATTCGTATCTTTCTCTCTTCTCTCAAATACTAAAACTGTTCTTGTTTTTTGGGCAAGTATTTTGAATTCCAGTCGGGTTTGTGAGTGCACATAAACTCCGGCGTCGTGCTTATCCTGGAGGGCGACTGCTTCTAGTCTACTGCACCGGGAGGTAGCGCGGAATCGTCTTTTAGGTTAGTAGTTCTCCACGACGTGGCTATTGTCAGTTTGGTTCACGCATCAAGAGATAAGTAATTTTTGTTTTATTGCTTAGTAGTATAACAATCTAAAAGACGATTATGGCTTCCAAATTTCTGATTCCTGATATGTCTAAGTTAAAACCTCTTGATGGAAAGAAATATAAACGTTGGGCTGTTAAGATGCGTTTTTATTTGGAGCAAATTGATGTTTCATATGTTCTTGATGATATTTTTGAACTTGTTGATGAGGATGATTTGTCTGAAAATGATGTTAAGTTTGCTAAGGATGATAGTGTAGGGGATTATAGGTACTACGCAGCGGAAATAATCATGAATCATATTCATATAGCACCTAACCAAGGATCTCATGCATAACACATAAAGAGTAAGAATAATACCTTTGAAGCGTGATTCCACAAGTGATCGAGCAAGAACAATAAGGAGAACAAGAACCCCACGTGTGATTCCTCTACTTAGTCCACGAGCACGGATTAAACCTCCACTAATGCTAGTTAGTTGTGACTGAACGCTTCAATCAACCTTCAACGGAGATCTGAGTCACGAACACACCACACCACCACCCACGCGCCACCACACGCGCCGCCCACAAGGGAGAGCCGTACGGACAGGGAGGAGAGAGAGAGAGAGAGGGTCGAGTAGAGAGAGAGAGAATTAGGGTTTTGGGATACTTGGTTGCTTGTGTGCAATTTATTGTATGTCAATTGTTCTATTTTGCAACCCTAGGCATGGTTTATATTTATAGATCATATCTAGAAATAAAACCATGTCAAGTCCAAAACCCATTAAACTCTTCTAACTATCCAAGCCTAATCATCAACATGGTATGTCATAAACTCATGAGGCCCAATAATGGGCCTCTAACTTGTTTAACCCAATACTCTTATGTGTGACCTTGTAGGATCCATTCTATAAGGCTTTGGGCCATTAATCTAGCCCAAATATCAATTGTCATATCTAGCACCAAACATTGGCGACCCTATAGAATGAACTTATTATATCCATAATAGTGATCCTTGATATATCTAGTAATTGCACTTATCAAAGACATAACTCCTTCAGATAGAACCTGTAAGGGCATGTTGTTGCATTATATGTCAAATAATTTGTTGGATATTTATATGGGTTTTTATCATGCTAAGGATATTTGGGATGCTTTAGAGAAAAAATATGGGACTGATGATGCTGGTACTAAACGTTATTGTGTTAGTAAGTGGTTGAGTTTTAAAGTTGTTGATGAAAAGCCTATTATTTATCAGATTGCTTATGAGAATGTGTGTATTAATATGGCTGCTGAAGGTATGTCTATTTGTGATATTACCCTTGCTATTGCTTTGATTGAGAAACTCCCTCCCTCTTGGAAGGATTTTCATAACCAATTGATGCACAAAAAGAAAGACCTAACCTTAGAGGACCTTGTAGGACACTTCAAAATTGAAGAGGAAAACCGTATCAAAGACAAAGGCCCTTTTGTTTTTCCTTCCTCTTTTTCTGCCAAAGCTAATCTTGTTGAACCCAAACACAACAACCAGTCAAAAGCCAATAACAGTTCTATTAAGCCTAAAGGGAAGGTTTAGAAGTACAAGTTTAAGGGTACCTGTGTTTCAGTGTGGTTTGATTGGTCACAAGGCTAAGGATTGCAGGGTTAAGAAGAAGAAGAATGGGCAAAGTCAAGCAAATCTTATTGAGGATTCTGACGTTATTGTTGTTGTTTTAGAAGACAACTTTACAGGTAATGCTGCTGAGTGGATTGTTGACATTGGAGCTACCAGACACATTTGCGCCAACAAGGACATGTTCACTACCTATTACAAGGTTGAAGGTGAAAATGTTTTCATGGGAAACGCAGCTTCTGCTTCCATCCAAGGCAAAGGGAAGATCGTTCTCACTCTCACTTCTGGAAAATTGCTTACTCTCACTAATGTTTTGCATGTTCCAGAAATGAGTAGGAATTTAATTTCTGGCAGTTTGCTCATGAAAGCTAGACTGAACCTCTCTTTTGATTCTGATAGATTAGTTCTTACTCGCAATGGGGAATTTATGGGGAAGGGCTTTTGTAATGGGGGGCTTTTTACTCTTGATGTTTAAATTGACACTATGAATAAGAATGCTAGTACTTCGTCTGCTTACATCGCTGAGTCTATTGATTTATGGCATGCTAGATTAGGCCACGTTAATATTGATTCAATTAAAAGGCTTAAAAACTTAAATTTGATTCCAAGTTTTTCTAACACTGATTTTTTGAAATGTCAAATTTGTGTGGAAACCAAATTTACAAAGAAGCCATTAAAATCAGTAGATAGACAGACTGAAGTACTAGAACTTGTTCATAGTGACTTGGGTGATTTTCATAATCATGAAAGTAGAGGGGGTAAAAAGTATTACATTACTTTTGTTGATGATTGTTCATGTTTTTGCATGGTTTATCTTCTTAAGTCTAAGGACGAAGCTGAGGAAATGTTCCTCAAATATAAATGTGAGGTAGAAAACCAATTGGACAAAAAGATTAAGAGGGTTAGGGGTGACAGGGGTGGTGAGTACAGCCCTGGCACTCTTAAGGCATTTTGTGAGCAACTTGGCATTGTTCATGAGATAGCGGCTCCCTTTACACCCGAAAAAAACGGTATAGCTGAAAGAAAAAATAGAACTTTACAGAATATGATGAATTCTATGCTTATTAGTTTCAGGATTCCTAAAAACATGTGGGGGAGGCCATTCTTTCTGCTTGTTATGTTTTGAACAAGGTTCATCACAAGAAGCTTGACAAGACTCCATACGAAATATGGAAGGGTCGAGCACCAAACCTGAAATACTTGAAAGTGTGGGGGTGCCTAGCAAAAGTAGGAATTATAGGAGTTTATAGGTACTACGAAGCGGATAAACATGAATCATATTCATAAAAGTACCTAATCCCAAGAACACATGCATAACACACAAGACACATAATCATACCTTTGAAGCGTGAATTCCACTTAGCCATTTGATTGACAAATCAGGGAGAGAATAGAGCCCCAAGCGTTGCTCCTCTACTTAGTCCACGAGCTTCGAACAAGCCGTCCACCAATACTAGATTGGTCGAGTGAAAGAGGAAAACCGCGATCACCACCTTTAATGGACTAACCGACCACCACGAACCACCACACTGGCGCCAAGGGAGAGAGAGAGCCGTGAGAGAGAGGAGAGTTTGAGAGGGGTTGGTCTCGTGTTTGCTAATTCGGGTTTGATCTCACTGATCAACTGAATTCAAGTTACTTACTGCAAACCTTAGGCACCTAGTCTATTTATAATCACATTATAACTAGACTAGGGTTAGGAAGCCCAAAACCCTCAAACTCACTCCATATGGCCGGCCATACTAGAGGATGAGGCTCATCATGGGCCTTGTCCTCTCATGCCCGATCTAGACCCTTTGTGTGACCTTATAGGATCCATCCAATTATGATTTGGGCTATTTTACTAGCCCAAAGATCGTTAGTACCTCTAGTTATGATAAAACGACGACCCAAATGTCCGAACTTAATTATCTCCATAAATTGATCCATTGATATATCTAGTAATTGCACATGACGAAGACATAAATTCTTCAATCTCCCACTTGTCTGAGACAAGTGTGCAATATTCAAATTCTTTAAGTCAATATGTGTCGATTTGATAATTTAATTGTATCACATGTCGCGATCATATTAATCTAAACTAGTACAAAAACATTCATTTGCGTCGCTCATTTAGGGTTTATTTGCGTCGCTTCTATGAGCGTCGTGAGCGGTTGCGTCGCAAATGACTTTTGAGTCATTTGCGTCGCTCATAGAAACGACGCAAATGAGTGTTATTTGCGTCGCTTGTTTACAAATGTGTGACGCAAATAAGAGTTATTTGTGTCACTCGTTTGTTAAAAGAGTGACGCAAATGACTTAACTAATGTTATAAAATAGAGTTATTTGCGTCACTCCTTTGCTAAAAAAGTGATGCAAATGACTCAACTAATATATAAAATAGAGTTATTTGCGTCACTTGTTTTATAAATGAGTGATGCAACTGATTGGTTTGAGGATTTATTCAACAGTGATGCAAATGATTTTTTTTTTCAAATATATTAAAAGAACATTATTATACTTTTCCATCAAGATATTGTAATGTTATAATGTAAGAATTATATTATGATAGATAAATTAATCAAATCACGTATACATTTCGGCAGAGTTTCCTTTGTATTTTGGCCAACCCATAAATTTGGGAATGACGGCAATGTATACACTAATATCCTGTCAAAAAGTTTACAACTCAAAATTATTGGTATCATTAACCAACACAAGAACAAAGACAAACCCAAAATGTTGGTAACCCAATTACATTCATTTCAAGCCTAAGAACTAAACAAAAAAGTCTAACACATAAATGGAGTTAGCTAAGTTAAATTCTAAATTTCAACATTGATCATAAAATCGTCTGACCAAATATCTTGAACCACATTTATCTCCTCCCCAGTATAAGTGTTCTAAAAATACCTGTTAACACAACACAAAACAAAAAAATAATCATTTCAAGAGTGTAGCAAATCTAAAATATATTGAATTAGTAATGAAAAATGTGACAACACGTATAGATCCTCACTACTACGATGATGTTGAACTATTTCAAACGTATAGCACACGACATAGTATCCATATCTCACATCCTCCCAATTTTTTTATGACACTACACGCATCATAGCAACAAAGTCAGTTGACACTCATACAAATGATTTCAAAAAAGATGCAAACTTGGCATGAAAAATAAGAATACTAATCATTCTCACCATATTTTAAGGAAAACTACATCCCAGTTAAGAATTTATTTCACAAGCTCCATTGTTTTTATTTATCACTATACATGTAACAAAATACTCATTGTACCTTAGTCTTCAAGAACTTCATGTCATACACTTTCATAACCCAATATATGTATTGAAAGAATATCACTATAAAAACATCAAAGTATATATAGAATCTTACTAGAATATATCTTAAATTCCTACGCTAGTGAAATTATAACAGTAGCTCAAAATCCAACTTAAAAATTCCACAAGTTGAGTATATTGAAATTTTTATTAGCAACAATGTATATTGAAACTCTAGATTGTGAAACTAATATTCGGTGATGAAGAGCTAGATTATGTCGCTTCAATTGTAATGTTAATTTACCTTTCATATGAGAGAAATCAAGTAAGAAATCAACTTATACCTAAAATTATAGAACAATCAAACCAGAAAATTCAATGAATAACAAAAAATTAGAGTTAATATGTATATGTAACTATGTGAGAGAGAAACCTTTACCTTCTCCCCTGCAATTCACAAACACCTCAACAACAAAAAAGCTCTCCGCAACAAATTGCCGCTGTACCAAGCCACACCACCGCCACTAACCACCAACCATCTGCTGCACCTGCACCAAGTATTTCACCACATGAAAATTAAATAACCAATGTAATCAAGCCTATGCTATATGTAAGTAATGTAACCCTAAGTTAAAATCTCAAAATGAATTATATTCTTTCTAACATTATATCTAGATACAAACACTCGATTAAACAAGAACAATTGCTCAAAATACCATGAAATTGTGATAAATTTAGTGAGATCAAGGTTTACATAAAATGATTAATTCAAAAACTAACTCGCGAATTGAACCTACATCTTTTCAATGTCCTCCTCCTTCGCCCATCGAACTCAACAAAACAGAGCAAGCTAGAACTCCATCAACTTTTGAACCAACAACCTCAGCCACAAGCCACTCCACCCAATTACCCCACACCGCCGCACTCACCAATCACCACAAACCACCACCCATTTTCCTCGCATATATACTGCCGCAACGGCACCCAAACCTCCTCCACCACCAAGAACAATCCCTAAATTATATCTACTATGAAAATAGTGAAGAAATAAATTTATAAGAACTCATACCTTGGGTAAAATCGACTTCACAAATTCACCAAATGTAGAGTCTAAATGCAAGAGAACCGAGTCGTTATTGCTCAAATTTATTCAGATTTTTGGGGGAAAAATTAATATCAGCTTTTCATTTGATTTTCAGTCGTTATTTGTTCGATTTAGGGTATTTTTTCTCGAACATCTGCAATTTTTATACTAATTCAAAATTTCGTGGGGGGTTTCGGGTTGATTTTTGCTCGAAAATGGAGGGTTCGGGCTTGGATTTGATGGGGGTTTTCTCTTAGTGGCCAAATTTGTTGATTTTAGGTCGAATTCCGGTAAGGTTGGTTGAATTTCCGGAGGTTTTTCACTTTTGCTGTTGAAATTTGGGGGTTTGTTGTAGAATTTGCTAGGGTTTTGAAGTTCAAACAGCGGCAAGGCAGCTAGAGGTTTTTTATACGGAGTTCTTAAGGGGAAGAAGCGCTAAGTGGGTTAAATAGAGTAGTCATTTGCGTCACTCAATAAAGAATGAAGTGATGCAATTTACTCATGAAGTTATTTGCGTCACTCGTTAATAAATGAGCGACGCAAATAACATTATCATTTGTGTTGTTTCATTTTATGAAAGCGACGCAAATATAAGTAAGCCGGAATATATCAGATATTTGCTTCGCTTTATAGCTAATGTCCGACGCAATTGACTTATATTGAAGCCAAAATATATTATTTGCATCATTTGTTTTTGCGAGTGACGCAAATGAGCATTTTTCTACTAGTGCTACAAATCATTTCTTGAAAACTGAGTTAGAATTACAAAACCAAATGATTACTGAGTAATGCATTTGAACGCGGCCACGTATTTTCTGAATTCTCCCTCTTCAAGCAACCATGACACATTCCCTAATTTAATAAGTAGACTCTATCCAATCTTGTGGCAACCAAGGCTCCCACTCAACTTTTGAAATAACTGGGAAACACACTTTATAATCTCTAGTTACGGGCAGACGTTTGAGTGTACCACAATCACAGTATCCATTGAATGAAAATGTCAAAGGAATCCACTAATATATCCGGAAGCTCTACACTTGAACTTCAAAGTAGGTCATAAGTTTGATCATGCATCATTCATGCATATCCAAGTGATAGACCGAGCATCAATATGCCCCTATAGCCCATAAAACTGCGCTATCCAATCAATCTTACATGCTAGTTCATTTATTGAAATCATTTATGTTCACTTTAATGATTTCGAACTAGGAACTGAAATAATATATGATTTTTGTTCACTTGTGGGGTTTCATACATCAGGTCATCAATCTGATGAGCCCAACAATTCATAATTATTTTGGACATTTTATTTAATTTCCAAAACCATAATTAAATAAGAGAAATGAGATTTCTATTCTAAACATAATCCTGCAAATTGATGCATTCCTTATGTAACATGTTTTCTAAAAACATATACAACTTGAATTACATAACTTGCTTCAATCCAAGTCTTTGATATGACTCTCATATCTTAGTCTATGGAAGGGGTTTAGTGATTTCTCACTCATAATAAAACTTTGCAGATCGCGACATCCCGCTTGTCATTGATCTCATAAATGAGGTGATATCTCATATCTACTTGTTTGGATTTGTGATGTGACCCTGAATCCTTTGGCAAAGGTATCCTTTTAGTCACAAGACAATTTTTGATTCAAACTTCCTCCTTAACTACTCTTACTGTAGCTACATGCATAGATTTTGACATTGGGTATGCAACAACATTCTGCTTTAATCTCTTTCAAGCTTATTGTCCTTCTTCATAAAGACATGAATATGCATCTAGATCAACATCTAGAGTCATCTTTCCTGTTTGGTAAACTTACACCTTTGACAACTTATTTACTTTTAACACCATTAGCTAGAAATATTCCTTTAGTCCTTCTCAAGTACTCAAGGATTTTCTCTTTGCAACTTTTAGTATGCTTGTTCTGAATTTACTTGAAAACTGCTACACATGCACAAGTCATATGTAATATCTTGCTTTGTACATATTGTGGCATATATAATGGACCATTTGCAAAAACATGAGGTACATTATCCATACAACTCAACTCTACTAGCTCTTGAAGGCACTGAGTTTTACTGAGTGTAATACCATGAAACATGGGAAGATATCCTCTCTTAGAGTTTTGCTTCATGAACTTGTCAAAAACCTTATCAACATAAGTCTATTGATTCATTCCAATTATTCTTCAAGATTCACTTCATGGATCTTGATTCCCAATATGTACTCAACATCTCCTAAGTCTTTCATATAGAAACAACTTTCTAATCACTGCTTGACTGATTCAAGAATTGATATGTCATTTCATAGGGACTGTATGTCATCTACATACATGAATAAGAAGACCAATTGGTCCCACTTAACTTCTTGTCTCTACAAGATTCCTTTTCGCTCTTTGAGGAAATCAAACTGTGTTGATTGCCTAATCGAGACGAATGTTCCAACTCCCTGATGCTTACTTCAATCCATTAAATGAATTTCTGAAGTTTGAAAAACTTTATATGAATTCTGGATTTCAAAATTCTTAGGTTGTATCATATACATATCCTCCATCAAGAACATTTGATGAAGGTGATTTTGATCTCCATTGCTAAACTTCGTAATCGAAATTAGCAATCACTAGAAGAATTCGAATAGGCTTACACAACTAATAGGTTTGACTCTATTTGTAAGACTATCATGGACTAACACATCTTTACAGACGTAGAGTCCATATTGGATTTCTTGTCCTTAAGCCACTTACTGAGTTGACACTTATCCAAAGCTTAATTGTAGGCATGGATTCCAACCATTCCAATAGGAAAATTTTAGAACCCACCTTTTTCTCAGAATTTTAACAAATTGTTTGTTTTGATCCCAAGTAACCTACAATAGGTATGAGCAACAATAGAATCATTCTCTTCAACTCTTTGAAGTCTTTCATTAAAGTGGGACGACAGAATCCTTGCTAGTGGAATTAGCTTGCTTCAACACATGGTTTATCAAATTAGCTGATTTCATATGCCTTCATCTCTGATGTAGTGTTATCCACATCCATTTGTTGCTCGTCTCGAATCTCATCGAGATCTAACTTTACTACAATAGGTATGAGCAACAATAGAATCATTTTCTTCAACTCTTTGATGTCTTTCATTGTTGGTGGTAAAGAATTACTGTCATCATTGTTACGGCTACCCATCTATGTCAAAATAAGGCAAAGTTTAATAATTATGTTTAATTTAAATGTACCATAAACGATTTATATAGGTAACTTTAAAGCACTTTATTCAATATTAATTGATCCCAATTGAATTATAAGTGATTCCAAGATCCTTTATTTGTGTAATAGTTGACCGGACTGAGGCCCTACCATCAAGCATAACATTTTCAAGGTGAGTAAACTCTTTACTGATTACAACTCTTGTAACTCTTGGTTGAATAATTAACCATCACATGCTTAATTATTACCCTTTGCTTCAAGGTCCTAAATGCTTTAGGTAACCTTGTTGAGCATAACCAATTAAATATGTAGAACGTGATCCACCCCAAATTACCTAAAATAACAAGTGACACTCTGATGAGGCCGACCCATCATTCACTATTAAAGGATTGTTGGGTATCTAATTGGAAAAACAATCTCAATATTACTGGGACCTAGATTCATTTATGTTGTGATTTATTTAGTGAACTATAGCGCATCATCAATCAACATAAATAAAATCTAACATGCATAATCTACTAATGCAATAAAACATGAAATAGTATGGCCCCTTAGTCCTAAGAAAACTAGAAATGAAAAGCTTCCACTTGAATCATCATGGATCTCTATCCACCTTGCTCCTTTGGGCCTTCACTTCATAGGCTTCTTTGGACTAACACAATTTAAGTAACTAATCTATTTACTTTAAATAAAAGTTACAAACATACTTAACGGTACGCAGATCGTATTTAGATTACAAAAATACATCACAATGCGTAGATCGTATTTTAGAATCTATGGGCCATACTAGTCTATATACGGCAACATAATATCATATATTATAAAAGTGCCATATAATAAATAATTCAACATGCTTGTCTAAACTACAACATTGAATGTTCATAATTAAGGCAACACATTTCCTAAAATATCTCATATTTTAATCATAATTAGATAATATAATATATTATTCATGACCAATCATAAAATATCATATATTTTAATTTAGGCATGAGATAGAATCAAATCTTATTTTAATCTAGAAAGATAAATCATATTTAATCTTTCATGATTATCCTAACAACTTTAGGAGATTATATCCTAATTATTAGTCAATTAAGTAATTTTAAAATCAATTATATCCTAATCTAATCATGGGATAATCAAATTATTTAACTCAATGATTATCCTTTTCGAATATGGTCAGAATATCCTAATCAATCTTATCCAAAATTAACAACTTTAATTATGGATAATTACCAATTTAAGAACTTTAAATATGGATAATATAAAATATAACAACTTTTGGATATTTGATTTTATCCTAAAACAAAAGGTTTTATCCAAATAAAATCGATTTTATCTTTCAAAATATTTATTTTATCCCAAAATAAATCATATTTATCTTGAAATATTTTTCAAAAACAGATTTTTTTTTTTGAAAAACCGTGACTGCACGATTGCTAGCCACCGTGGTTGGCTAGCCGAGGCTAGCCACGGTGGCTGGCTGCTTTGCAGCAGAAGCAGCCACGGCAGCTGCATGCAATGCTTGCACAGCTGCTGCTTCAGCTACCCTGGATTGCCGCCCTCCCTTCCCCTCCCTCTTGGACCACCATCTGGTCGGCAGCCGCCGTGGCTGCGCCACCCAGACGCGGCTGATGGCCTCAATTTTTTGTTTTTTTTGTTTTTGGTTTTCAATTTAATTAAAATAACTTTTATTAAAATTAAATCAAATCAGTCCAAAAATAAAAATTAAATCAACATTTAATTTTAAAATTAGGGTTCATCATAAAATTAATCCCAATTTAATTCTAACTCTTAAAATTAAATCGATGATCATACACAAAATATTTTTATGCATAAATCAATCCGATTAAAATTATGAAATATAAAGAAAAATCGAATTAAATCAAAATCAAAAACAAAAATCACATTTTAGGGCTAGAAATTTTTGAAATAATTCAAAATTAGTGTTAAGGTTTTCGAAAATCCGAAACTAGGGTTTTAGGGTTTGAAATTTTCGAATAATTTAGGGCTTAATTCGGTCCTCTTCATGGCAATTTTGAGCATAACTAAATCACATTTAACTAATTCCAAAAGTTTAATCACATTAAATATAACAATTGAACCATAGTTAAATTAGTTTCTCCCTCTTAATTGATTATAAAACTAATATGGACATCAAATAATCGTATTGTCTCTACAAGTGCGTTCATGCAAGAGGCTAACTGATACCATTGTAGGAGTTTATAGGTACTACGCAGCGGAAAAACATGAATTATAATCATAAAAGTACCTAACCCCAAGAACAC